CTCTAGCTCTCTCTCTCTCTCTCTCTCTCTCTCTCTCTCTCTCTCTCTCTCTCTCTCTCTCTCTCTCTCTCTCTGTTGGTTTAAGTTTGTAAAGTAGATGATAGTTTAATATAGTATTAAAGTTTAAAAGTTCTAAGTTCAAATCACATAAGACAAGAGAATATATGTGGTTCGACACATTGTGCCTACATCTATGGACCAAATGCCCCAATAGACTACATCGATGTATATTCACTAGTGTTTGATTAGGTAAGACTTAACTCTATTTATAAACCGAGTAATAAATAGAAATAAATTATCAGTCCTTATCTTATGGGATAATAAATGCTGAAGATAATAATCACTCAGACTCATCTTCTATACTTCTCCAGACTCGAGTACATCAAAACAATTATTTGCAGAAGTACCATGCTTCTTGGTTTCATGTCTTCTTTTGTTCTGAAAACAAATTTTTATAGCAGCACTAAAACCTAGCCAACAGAGGAGATTTGCGGTAAGTGAATTATATTATTCAAAATATATATATATTCAACATAGCTCAAAAGACATCCAAAACGACACACAGCAATTTTTCAAAAATAGATTGCTCAGGATAACAGAATTTCTCAAATGCTCCATTCGGTAGGAAAGTTGAAAAGTACGGGAGAAATATTTTCTATCCTTCAAGGAAGGAAAGTAAAAATGATACATTTTCCTTCCTCTATGTTTGGTAGGATGGATGAAAAATAAAAATTATTTTTTTTTGTGTTTACTAAGATTAGGTGTGACAATCGAGTCTATCTTGTCAGGTTCGTGTCGAGTCATTACAATTTTGTATCGAATATTAATCAAACCTAACTTCACTCATTGAATTAATCTCATCGAGTTGACCTGTTAAATTTCGTGTCGTATTCGTATTCGTGTTGACCCACATAAACTTTTAATAAAAAATTTTACGCTAATATTATATTTTTACTTAATTGAATCCATACTCCTACTTTTTCTACAAACTAAAAATAACCTTAAATAAATATAGTAATAATAATAATAATAAGTAAAAATACATTTTTATATAATAATTATTTCGGTGCTTAATAAATAGTTACAAATAATTAACATTTTATATCTATAATATTAGTTAAACGTGTAAATTTCGTGTTATCATATAAACGAGAAAATAGAGAAATTGTTTATTATCAAATAAACTGGTCAATGATGTCAATTTTGGATTTGACGGGTTGAACTAAATATGAACGTTTATAATTCGTGTTCGTGTGTCAGGTCATTTTCGAGTTCGTTTCGAGTTATAATCAAGTTCGTGTCATAAAATTCGTATCGAGTTCGAGTCGTGTTATTATCTTGAGTTAAAAATTTCCACCCCTAGCTAAGATGGAAAAAATAATATTTTTTTATTTTTTATTTTTTAAAAATATATATAAATACATATTTAATCATGTATTTATATATGAAATTAATGTGTATATAAAGAAATAAAATACATTTCAACACAAATAATTAACTTTTCATCATTTTTTCTTCCGATTTTAGAGAGATTAATTTTGGTTAATTGAAAAAAAAACTCATTCATTCTTTCAATTTTTTTTTTTACCAAACATAATGTTTTATTTATCCCTTAAATTTTTCATTCTTTCAACTTTTCATTCTTCTATTTTTTCATCATACCAAACGGAACATAAATCCGATAAACTAAGTTTACAAAACACTCCCCTCACTCCGAGAGGCGAGGGAAAAACCATAGAACCCTTGGTAAACCCTACTCATCTGCTCTGTACGGGTTTGACACGATACGGATCCATAATTATGCCCATCACCAGGAGAAGCGATTTCACAGTAATTGAAAATCAAACAAGTAGCTGGGATTCTGGCTCCGTGTCTGCTCGAGTATAATAAAGTATGGTCTTCCTTGACTGTTGATTTTAGTTGTTTCCAATAGTGTGACTGTGACACACATTTGGTTTAGTTTCATAGTTTTTTTTGGGTAAATAAGTAATTTCATTAACCAAAAGAGATTTATGTACCGTGTGTTCTACGGACACTTACAAAGTCACAGTCAATTTTGTTTTTGAATTTTTTTATAAGATACATTTCTAGCATTTTGGGATGTATGCATGCATGCATGTTGAATTTGAATGTAGCTCAAAGTAGCTGTGGAAATGATTACAAAACGGGGATAACATATTACGTGACATGAATCATAAATATGTATATATTTATGATTATAGGTAATAAGATTATGGTGTCGAACTGTTAATTTTTAAATATCACATCAAAAGTTATTATAAAATAAGATTGATATCATGACTCAATATGGTGAGTTTATGACAAAATAAAACTAACTTTCTAGAATCGATCTCTATTTTTTTAATAACAACTTAACTTTGTATGTTTACTAAACTTAATCATTTGGAATTGATCTGAACATTCTAGGATAGAAGCATAAGGGTCTTTATGATATAATCAATAGTTCGATTCTTTTCAATTAGGCATTGCTTTAGCTTCTTTAGGGACTATTACTTTCTTGGTAGCTCAACACATATACACTTTACCTACTTATGCATTCATAGCAATCTCAATTTTTTGGATAATGGCAACATATTAACCTTATATGTTTTAAGTTAACTTAAAATTGAAGTGTATAATTTAACCGAATTGAGTTGTACCCTTTTTCTTGTTTTACAATATAAGCTTCGGAGCCGTACATACATATATATAGCAATTAAAATAACAAGAATGACGACCATTTCTAATGATGGCATGACAAGGAGTATATTAATAGTACTATGAAAGAATTGGAAGCAACCGTTCGATCTTATTATACATTTATGAGTCTATGACAGTCTTATTGTACTGCCTAATGGCATAATTCAGGGACACTAATACATATGTTAGTCGGGTAACTAGGAGGAGCAGAGGAAAAGGTCAAATAAAGTATTTGCTTTGGAAGATAAGTTATGCTTTCAGTGTCATTTTAGTACGTATTAATAATCCAATCATAGCACGACGCTCTTTATCATCTTATATTTGGTGTTAAATAGACCCTATCTAGTATCCTAAATACTGTTTATATATATATATTGATAACGGAATCTTATTATGTACACACCACACCATAAGGAGATAATGCACAAATGACGAGTATCTGTTATCAATTTTGAAGAATAATGCCACATTAGTTTTTGATTTAGTAATTGCATGATGATGCAGCCCCGGAGGTATGGATAGTTATCGGAGGGATGCATCGTGTCTAACATGCCTATAAATATTCTAAATAGTAAATTTTTTTTAGTCAAACACAGTTAGAATTTGATCAGGATTTTTTTAGACAAAGATATAATTGATTGTTTGTTGTTTAGAATTTGGATGAGATTTGATTTTATTTGATGAAATTTCTGACAGATTTTTATTTAGATTTGTGAATTTTGGATAATCTCACTTATTCGATTTTGTGAACTCAAAGCAATAAACTTAAACAGTAAACTAAAAACACTATCTCTCTCTCTCTTTTTGATATCTATAGTTATATATATATATATATATAATTTTTTGAATTGATTGTTTGGTATGTGGAATTTTGGATGATCTTTTTGACTTAGTATTGTGATGATGAACATATATTTGACATGTTGTAATATAAATATTTAAAAAGATTAATTTGTGTTATAGGACCGGAAAGATGAGTTGAGCTGGATTTTAATGACTTAAAAAAAGTCATTTCGTGAACTTATTAATAAAAAGGTCACAGAATTGGATTTTCTAACAATTTTTGCTTAAATTAATAATAATAATAATTAATTAGATCAATAAATCATATAAATATATTAAGTTTTAGTAGTATTACTAAGACCTAGTTGGTCTAAATATATGCAATAAAAGATTTAAGTAAAAATTATTGGTTGCTTTTTCAACACACGTGCTTTGGGAAACTTCGCCCATTTTTTACCCTCTTACGGCAAAACAATGTTATTGTGAATTAATTTACTCACCTAGTTTATTATTATCGTTAATAAAAATTTTTAGGTTCAAATAACATTATTTATTCCGAAATAACACAAGCCGGCTTAGTGTTGGTAGCTAATGGTGCCCGCCCATGCCGTAGTGCCCACCCGTGAAGGCCATGACCCATATGAGAATGAGCCAATTTTCTATTTATTTATATTTTCTGGACCATTCATTGTAAACTAATTCACATTTCCTGAGTCAGTCTACTATTTATTTATTTATGTTATTATTATTGATCCAAGTTCATGTAAAATTCTTTTTTCTTAAAATTATTTTATTTAACTTGGTATTACAATAATGTGTGTTAAAGACTTCTTAAACTCCTCTTATAGTTGTAGCGTAGCCCATCAGGAGTCTCCTTGATTCTTGAAATCACAAATATCTTCATTTAATATCAATGATATAATTCGATAATATTTTCCTTCCATCTTCAATATTTTATTGTTTGATTCTTAATTAATTGTGAATATTGTTGGGTGTTTGATTTTGAATGCCGACGTCGAGAAAATTTGTTGAGGCTAAATACTTCAAATGACACAGATTTTTTTTTAACAATAGGCTTATATTTAATTTTTTGTTTTGTTCTAATTTTATACACTATGCTTACCTAATTTTGGCATTTTGTCTTTAAAGAAATTAAAAAATATTAAAAGCAGCATAATCAAAAAATTAAATTTATTATCTCACTTTTGTAAATTTTGAGTAAAAAATAAATTAAAACCTTATTAAAATGTTTGGTGCCCGCCCAAATTTGATTTTCTGACTCCGCCCCTGCCTATAGGTGTAACCCAAGATGGCTGCTAGGCGATTTCACTTGCCTTTGTCTTGTTGTGAGAAGCCTTTTGTACGTATGTTGAAAAGCTTTGACGTAAGCATTTGAATTACGTCGCCCATGCACTTATAAAAACCCTCCGTATCTCTGCAAGATTTCCCAGCTCTCTCTCTCTCTCTCTCTCTTGTTTAATTGATTTGTTTTTGTTGAAACTATATAATAGAGAAAAATGTGTAGGTCTCCAAGTTGTGATGAGAAGGGTTTGAAGAAGGGGCCATGGACACCGGAGGAGGATCCGAAACTGATTAATTATATGCGAAACCAGGTCCATGGCCATGGAAGTTGGAAAGCACTCCCCCGGAACGCCGGTTTGAACCGGTGCGGAAAGAGTTGCAGGCTTAGGTGGACTAATTATCTGAGGCCTGACATCAAGAGAGGGAAATTTTCTGATGAAGAACAAGAAGTCATCATCAACCTCCATTCAGTTCATGGAAGCAAGTATATTTTGTTGTTCTTTTTTTTCTTCTTTGGGTTCTTTTAATAATGTTTTAGGGACTTAATTTAATACAATTATTAGGTTAGTTGTAAGTTTTCGTATTAGATGTAGCCTACTTTCAATGCAATTGTTGCATTGAATTAACTCCCCAAATCAGGTCTAAATAATAATTTTCTCATTTTTTTGTTGTTGATTTTTGTTTTGGGGAAAATAATACTTTGAGCCCCTCTACTATGGTCCCTATCACATCTCATCTTGTCTCCTCTACTATCAAAATTTTCAAATTGAACCTTCTACTACAGCTATTAATTTGATATAGGACTTGAACTATGTTGATCCCATAGTTGATTTTTTCCAAATTTTATGAAAAATTATCTTATTTTGCTTTGGTCCCGACTTATTATGTGAATTTATTTTTCTTGGTCCCCACATGTGGACATTTTCTTTCTAAATAACAACAGAAATTTACATTTGAGGCAGTATCAAACCAATTTAAATGGCTAAGAAGACAATGTGAGAAATCTAATAGTTCAATACCTAAAATAAGATCAAAACGATATGCCTTTTATTTGATTATCGTTTTTATATAAAACATTGCTTGCTATGCTAGAAATGGTGTACTCACTGTCATTATGTACATGCAGGTGGTCGAGGATTGCTGCTCAGCTTCCAGGAAGGACTGATAACGAAATAAAGAATCTCTGGAACATCCATCTGAGGAAGAAGCTCCTCCTTATGGGTATTGATCCAATAACCCACAAACCAGTCTCTGATCTGAACCTCCTTCTCAACCTTTCTAAGTTGGTGTCTACCCCAAACTTCAACAATTTGATGAATCCCTGGGACAATGCTCTTAGGTTACAGACAGATGCCACTCAACTAGCCAAAATCCAACTGTTTCAAAACATTTTGCAGATCATAAATACAATTCCACTTTCAAATATTGAACAGACTAGTTTTTTGGGATCACAGAACTATGCCCAGATTGATGGACTTCTGAATGGGACAAGGACTGTCTATACCACTGAACAGTCCCAATCACCGTTCAAACCCTCAAACTTGGGTTTTACACCACAAGTATTCAATGATTACAGTGTCATTACAAACTCACTGGCATTGTCTACAGGTGGATTACGCCAAGAGGTTCTCGATTTCAACGATAATATTCCACTTCCTGCATTGGTTTTGGAGACTCCCGAAAGCTCCATTGTCAACCGAATGGAAAGCACAGAGCCAGCTTACTTTTCAGCCCATTCACCCACCTCCAACTTCTTTGAGGAGTGGGAAAAACTGATGGATGATGAAGCCAGTAGCTCCTCATGGAGAGATATTATACATTAATTGAACATTATTCAAGCGTGTGTATGTTTGTGTTTTTGTGTGCGTGTGCAGTGAGAGAGTGGTTCAGTGATAAAGACTGTACTACAGGGTGCTGGCCATTGTCATGTCAGAAAAATACTCCAAGCATAGATACATATGACATGTGGAAACAAATATTCTAAGTCCTGTATACTGCATATACTTAATTGTTTTCTCGAGCCAACTTATGATCGGTTACCTTTGTGTATCATGTAAACCTTTCGTTTTATCAAACAATGTTCTTTTCATACAGATTTGCTTTGGGTTTTTTTTTTTTGGAACAAATTTTAATACAGATTTGCTTTTTTGAAATTACTCCAATGTTAGTTTTGTTAAAAAATGGAGATGATACCATTTTGTTGGAGTAAAAAAACTAGAAATAAAATGAAACGACATAGAGAAAAATATGAATACTCCAAGAAAAAATAATTGCATTCAAGTTTATTGCAACTATAATTTTAACTCGGCACATACTCACTCAATTGTACTTATCTCCAATACTAGACCACATACCTTTATATATAGGCTCTAAACATAAATATTAACATTACATTAATGTACCACTACACTCACTAACTCTTGTAAACTCTATAATATTAAGACCCACTTTTTCCAACACCTTCCTTAAATTTGATTTTTCACTCGAGTCCTTATCTTGCAAATAACTTCATAATAGAAGGGCTTCTTGAACTTGGGTACCACCAACTTCAACAGCAAGAATTTTCAAAAATCATCTCTTTTGCGGAATAGGGCTTATGATAAATCTTCTCACACTTGAAAAATATCTTCATCTTCCCTATTTTCCTCTTGACCATTGGTGCATTGGCCTTCTTTTTCCCAAACGTCCTGATCCTCTCTTATATTTTCTCTCTTGGATCAAAGAATGTCACCATATTCACTCAACCAGTATTCATTTGACGCATTTTCAACACTAAGTTGGAAACAACAATTAGTATAACTTTCAAAAAATTCATCAACTTGAATATGATTCTCAAAAATTCCGACATGATAATCTTCACTTTGATGCTGGGTTGAAAAAACATCTTTCATACTTACTTTTTAAGATCTCACCTCAACATTCTTAACCATATAAGAATTCTTGATCTTTTCTTCATTCTTTGCAAATTCTTCAATTTCCTACACATATGTTTCAACATTTTCACAACTTTCTTTTTCTTCCATTTTTGGTGTTGCTTCTTCAACTTATCATTTTCTTTATTCTCTCCTACATCTTGAACTTTGACTTCAATTTTGGTCTCCTAAACTTGTTTGACTTCATCAAGATGATACTCTTCTTGATCCTCTATTGGTATATCTTTAAAATTACACTCTTATTTTGCATACTCATATATTCTTCAAAGAATTGTACCCAATACTCATTGGTAAAAACTCACCTTTATATTTGGATACTACATTCTCAGTCATGTTCCAAACATACTCATATAATACTATAGTCTTCTTGAGAACTCCAAATGTTTTTTCCTTTTTGTTCTCTCGGACCCTTCTAGGCAAGCCACTCATTAGATTTTTCCATTACATCCCACAAATCACATACTTTGAGATAAGAAGGGAGAATAATCTCCATTCTCTTGTAATTAGATAATATCATCTTTTCACACTAAAAATACTTATTCGGTAAATACTCCATGATCACCATTACCATGACAATGTCAAGACTTTAAGAATCGTATTGGCTCTGATAGTGAACTATCTAGATTTTCAGGATCAACAAGTGGTTTTGACAATGAGTTACCTAGTGCTCTAGGATTGGTGTTGGCTCTAATACTAATTTGTTGGAATTATTCCAATGTTACCTTGGTTGTAAAATTGATCTGATACTACTTTGTTAGAATCAATAAAACTATTTAAAAAAAAAAGAACGAAGTAAAGGAAGTAAAGGAGGATGTAAACGCTCAAAGAAAAAATAATTTTATTCAAGTTGGTTCTAACCATAATTTGGACTCTTCACATACTCACTTAACTGACCTCTAATACTAGACCACATACCCTATTATATAGGCTTTAAACGTTACTTCTAGCTTAAGATATGACTACACCTACTAACTTTTATAACTTCTATAATATTAAGACCTAGTTTCTCTAATACTAGAAAAATTAACTCACCAGTAACACAATTTACTCGCCCACTACATGGTATATTAATATACCACTAACACACCTTATTAAGACAATTTAATAATAAATTGTCACTAAAAATATTGTGTATTCAAATGCTTACCAAATTTTTTTACCAATTTTTTATCCAAAAATGATGTGGCACAGTTTTTCATCATCAGATATGTGGGTCCCACTAATATTCTATGATGGAGATTATGCCACATCATTTAAAATAAAAGATTTGATAAAAAAATTAATAAACATAATATTTTCCAATATTTAATTTGAATTATTGGTAGTGTTTTGGAGTATAATCTCCAAATGTGCATTCCACGGTACTCTCCTCATTCGACAACAGAAGTCTGCAACAAGATCTAAGAGTTGCTAAGATTAGCTGAAACAAGAATGTTGACAGTTTATTATGAATTGGAAATGAGTTAGGTAGAGTAGGCTTGGAATAAGGACTATACACAAGAAAAAGACAGGCCTTTTTCGGAATGAAACTGTTGGGATAATTATAAAAAAAAATGTTGGATAATTAAGAACGGTTAAAATAATCTTCCCTTCAACTTCAAAATTTTCAACTACCCAAGAAAAATCTTCAAAATTTTGAATTAAAATATGATGGCAATAATACAAGAGTCAATAGTAACATATATAGTCCATCTATTTGACAGTATTAACTAATTTACCCGTCTATCATCCAATTGAAAAACAAGTAAATAAGTGGATTCCACATCAGTTAATAGTTTAAGCAAATAATCACTCCATGTAAAATAGTGAGATCTACTTGATCCATTAAGTTATGTTCTTATTCGATGGTGATATCATATAAGTTATAAAGATAATGACATAGTGCCACCTTTACATCGCATATTTACTCAACTACCTAACCCCTCCTCTAGTTTCTCTGCGGCATTTCCCACAAGCCATACGCCTCGTGTAAACTTGAGTAATATACCGTTAGGAAAACTTGAACGTGGGACGTGCAGAAGTTCAAACTATACTGGTTTACATCTCGTCCCTCGTTGTACCATTGAAGTAACCCATGAGGATTACTGAAACAACCCGTATTGATTGGCAAGTGGTTAATATTCTTTGGGGGGGGGGGGGGGGGGTGTTTACATTCCACGATATTTACTCCAACCTGATTTAGAAGGTTTCTGTGACGTAGAACGGAGAAACAAACACAGAAGTTCTAGCAGTCCCAAGTCTTCATTCTAGGAAACCAAGTTTGATAAGTAAAATCCAACCAGAAATTGTGGATTATAGTCTTTGGGATGTTTCTTCAACAATTTCCCCTTTACCATGGCTTAGAGTAATATTTTATCATGATGATAGACTTAAAAATGAAGCTAATGAGGTAAGATTTGAGGAAAATTGCCAGCATATCTCACCATCTTTTTAACTCCCCCTATTGAAAAATAGGAGGAATGATGTCAATGTTGTTAATGCGTATAAGGAACACCCTAAGCTAATATTTTTAGAGGTCAAAGTTAAGTTAATTAACAGAAATTTCCATCGTAGCATCCCTACCAAATCCATTCAATTATTACTAAAATTAACCTTAATCCCCTTTCAACTACACCCTTTACTCTAAGAGAGAGAGAGAAGAAGAAGGGGGGGGGGGGGGGGG